CTGGAGGGCTCCCGGGAACTGCTGAAGAAGGTGGGGATCCTGGATCTGGCTACGGCGAGACTTTAGAGACCCAGATGTGGACTCGAGGCTTCTGCGGCTGCGGGCGGGGTCCGGCTTCCTAAATGAGCTCCTGGCGCCCCCTGCATGACCCCAAACTCTCGGGGTTGCACAGAGGAGGGGCTAGTGGTTGGGGCGGGGTCGTTAAGAGTACGCGTGTATTACCGCAAGTTCTTCTACCAATCGGGAATTGCTCTCCGATCTTTCTGAAAAGAACCTCTTGAAGATCTTGGCCCAGGTGGTCGCGCGGTGTTTACAGAGCTCTGGGGTCCTGCTTTCCCCGAGCCTCGCGGCCTCTAAGCTCATGCGGAACATAAAAGCGCGCAGGGCGTAGAACTTTTTCACGTTTTCATTTGTTTCCCGTAGGGGCCCTGAGAATGTGCATGACACCATCATTCCCCCCACCCCCCATTATAAAGATGAGAAAACCGAGGCGCAGAGAGGCCGAAGGGAATTGCCCAAAGTCAGATACTCGGGAGTGTGTGGCTGTGTTGCACTGACGCATCCGGATTGTTTGAATTCAGCTCCTGACTTCTCATACCCAGTAGACTCTGTGCAATTGAGTGGGGAAATGACCTGACACCTCCCTTTGAGGTGATTACTTTCAACAGTGTCATTTTTAATATGTGTATATGTACTTGCAAGACCAAGCTAACTCGAGAACTCACTCCTTCATTGTCTTACTCACTGCAACTGGCGTCATCCGGCGAGGGTCTGGAGGGTGCCTAATTTCAGTAGCCGTTTGAATGAGAGATCTCTGGTTTGGAGGAAGATCCTCCATGGGGCGCAGATGTCCTGTCTCTCCCAGCCACTTTTTGGAGCAGAGGGTCCATTGCTCCCTATCTCAGATCACTCCTCCTCTAGGCCAACCAGCATACCCTGCCGCAGGGTTGCTTTTCAGCCTTCCTTTTTCGTTCTCCAGGTCAGAGTTCTGGGTGCTCCTTGGTGCAGGACCCTCATCTCTGCACTCTGGAGTTTGTTTCCTTTTCAGAGCCTTCCTTTTATTCTTTGGAAGGTGACCCATTTTCTTCTGGGGGTTCACATCTTTCGGCCTCTTCTTTCCCTGGTCTCCTTTCCTTTGGAAGCTTTTTCTCTCTCCCTTGCTGGTTCAGCTTCTGTATTATTCCCCCCTAGATTGTCTCCCTCTCTCCTGCAGCTTCCTCAGATGGTGCTGTGCTTCCACCCCCCCCATCCATTTATTAGAGATGAAATAAATAATGCCATAAATAAAAGTATTTGGGAGTCCAGGAACTGTCAGGGCTGATTAGGGCATAGAGGACATTTTCTTTCTCATTATGCAAAAGCATTTCATGGGGAAATAAAAGAGGTTTCATTGTAACTCATGCATGTCATATTTCAAGGAATTCAAGATATTAATCATATTTAACATTATTTGCAATGTTTCTCCCTGGCTTCTGAAAACTGCTAAATGAGGACACGTGGATCACTAGGAAAAGGAGACAAGCATGAGAGGGACAGTTAAGAAATAATGAAATGCTGGTGAAAGACAGAGAAAGAGAATGAGATGCCAGGGAGATGTTTCTTAGGCACGTAAGTGAGAAATGGGGGAGCTACTTCTGAGACGTGAAACAGCTGAAATTGAATGATATACTGGAGGAAATAAATGATAACAAACCTCCCCACACTTTCCTTTCTATAAAGCAGTTCTGAATTTTGCATTGAAATGTTTTCCTCCCACTTTACTCCCAGATAATTTGCCAATAAGTCCTGGCTTTTGAAAAGAAATTGGGGTGGTGGCAGTGTGGGGCGTTTAGAGGGGAGAAATCTTTTAGTTCTTCTGAAGAAGTGATTTCCTGTACCTGGGGGCTTTCTCTTCTATGTAGTTTTAAATGTATATCCTCCTCACCACTTAAGCACCTGAAGAGACTGGGAACAATACTTCTATTGTATATTTTCTATTGAAAAGGACCTGCTGTCCTTTACATCAAAAAGTGATCATTTCTATAAAACTGAAATAATCAAATTAGTCATTTAGCTTTTTAAAAGTTGGGGGAGGGGAAGGTTCCCAGAGGAAAAATATTTAAAAGTTTTAAATGATCAGCTTTCAGATTTTCATGTGGGCAGTCACCTATATCTGGGTCCTGGGTTCATAGAAAAATGAAGTACTTAAGAATCGCTCTTTAAAAAACAAAGTGAGCATTTATTCTAAGTGTGGCGTTGAAGGCAATTTTAAAATTATAACTGACCACTAATCCCTGCCTGAGATTGTATTTAACTGAGTATTGTACATCGATGTAATGTATTTAAGTGTTTATAAAATTACTGGTAGCACTCTGTGAGCATCTTGCTCTAAATTGTGGCCTAGATTATCAGATAGTGACTTTGCTGATGTCTTGGGCGTCTCATAGGAGCTGATAGAATAGTAATTACACCCATGCTTTAAATCTTTTTAGATATTTACTCTTATCTCAGAAAAAAAAAGAGAGAGAGTGAACTTTTAAAAGCCAAGTGGCTATTTATGGACAGGGTAATTTTTTGATTGGCAGCATGTCAATTCCTTGAGCCATCCAGAATGTAGCTTTTAAATAATAACTCAGCCATGGGAAATGCTTTTTATTGCACCAATTTCAATGATATTTAATGAGCTTCTGATTGACTGTTTGATCTCCCAATGTTTTGTGCTACTTTTAATTCATTTCGTATAATAGAAAAAAAAAGTAATTGGAATAAAATTTTGTGACAAGATAATGACCTTCCACTTTGAAATTAAATGTCTGATTAGCTTCAACATTTTAATGCCAAGATGATATTGCAGCAGGAACAGGACTATGCATGCTATCATTTGGTACAAAATGACTTAGGAATACTCCTGTGCTTTTCCCATTGCATAGCAAAAAAGGTGTGGTGGCTATGTAATCGTAGGTACACAGGACTAGAAGGGACCTTTGCAGTCTTTTATTCTTGTGACTGAGCCTCTGCCCATAGTTTTCGATGGCCCTGGCAAGTGGTTGTGCAAACCATGTTTAAATGCCTCCACTGATGGGGATCTTGCTACCTTCAGGGACCTTATTTCCCCAGGTAGTTATTCCACAAATATTTACTGAGTGTCTACCATGTGCTAGGTACATTTCTAAGCACTGGAGGATATAATGCTAACCCAGATCACAAGGTCCTACTATTATGGATTTAGGTGGAACAGGTAAACAAACTAGTAATTAACTAAAAAACATTATTTCAAATAGAAATAACTATGATTAGGGACAAGCGCAGTGATTCATGCTGGTAATCTCAGTACTTTGGGCGGCTGAGTGGGGAGGATCACTTGAGCCCAGGAGTTTGAGACCAGCCTGAACAACATAGTGAGATCCCGTCTCTACAAAAAAATAATAATTACTGGGCAAGGTGGTATGCATCTCTAGTTCTAGCTGCTTGGGAGGCTAAGGTAGGAGGATCACTTGAGCCCAGGAGTCCAAGGCTGTAGTGGACTATGATTGTGCCATTGTACTCCAACCTGGAGGACAGAGCTACACCTGTCTCTAAACAAACTATGATGAAAAACCAGGATGGGAGACAGGGCTTGGTGGCTCATGCCTGTAATCCCAACACTTTGGAAGTCCAAGGTGGGAGAATCGCTTGCATCCAGGAGTTTGAGACCAGCCTGGGCAGCATAGTGACACCCTATCTCCACAGAAATAAAAAATTAGCCAGGTATGGTGGCTAATAGCACCTGTAGTCTCAGCTCCTCAGGAGGCTGAGGCCAGAAGATCATTTGAGCCTAGGAGGTTGAGGCTGCAGTGAGCCAAGATCGTGCCACTGCACTCAGCCTGGGCAACAAAGTGAGACCCTTTCTCAAAAAAAAAAAAAAAATAGGGCAAGGGTGTACTTTTGATAGAGTGTGACTGAGATGATCTCTCTGCAGTGGAACAATAGTTCACTCATGAGAAAAAGCCGCCCATGAGAAGAGCAGTCCAGGCTAAGGGACTATAGGTGCAAGAGCCGTAAGAACCATGAGATGGGAACAAGCTTGATGTTCTCAGGGAGCTGAAAGAGGGCAAGCCATGGGAATTGCCGTGGCAAGGGGCAGAGCAAGGAGGAGAGGAGAGAGGCAGGCTGGGCCCAGGCTGTGCAGGGCCTTGTACATCATGGGACACTTGGGGGATTTATTCTAAAGGCAGTGGGAAGTCTTGGAGGTAGTTACACGGAGGTAATGACATGACCAGATTTATGTTCTTAAAAAATGATGTTTTCAGAAAAGTTAAAATCGTGACTCTCATACAGACATAAAAATGAACACGTGTTAAAGATTTTATTAAACGTAATTACTCAGGGCCCTTATAGTGTTCAAAGGGAAGCACAGATTGGTGTGGAATAAAGGAATGTTGAATTAAATGTGTAAATGATTTTTCCATGGGGGCATGCAGATTCCATGGTATGGATGTACCACAGGCTCTTTAACCATTCACCTGTTGGAAGACATTTTGGTTGTTTTCAGTGTTGAACTGTTACAATTATTGTTGCTCTGAACAAACACAGGTTTTTATGTGGACGTGAGTTTTATTTTTGGGGGAATAAACGTCTGGGAGTGGATTGCTGGGTAATTTCATAGTATTTTAAAAGATTCATTCTGCTTTGTGGACAATTAACTTTACAGGATCAGATTGGCAGCAGGGAGACAATTTATTTTCAAAACAGCAGCTGAGTGATCCTTTTAAAATATAATCATGTGGGTCGGGTGTGGTGGCTCATGCCTGTAATCCCAGCACTTTGGGAGGCCAAGGTGGGCAGATCACGAGGTCAGGAGTTCGAGACCAGCCTGGCCAATATGGTGAAACCCCATCTCTACTAAAAATACAAAAATTAGCCAGGTGTGGTGGCATGCACCTGTGGTCCCAGCTGCTCGGCAAGCTGAGACAGAAGAATCGCTGGAACCCGGGAGGCGGAGCTTGCAGTGAACCGAGATCATGCCACTGCACTCCAGCCTGGGCGACAGAGTGAGATTCGTCTCAAAAAAAAAAAAATACACACACACACACACACACACACACACACACACACACACGTAAAATGTGGTCTCCACTCTGCCTTCTCTGGTCTTCCTCCTTAGAGTAAAAAGCAGAGTCCTTAAAAT